ACATGGCTCACTCTCTCCTCATTGTTTCTACTCAATTGTCATTTGAGGCCTTCCTTAGCCCCATCTCAGTCACCATCATTCTTTTCTTGGCATCTCACACACTTGATAAATTATCTATCTTCTCCCAAGAACAGCACTCTGTTCCACCTATCCTGTCTGTGGCTGTGACCACAGCATCCATGACAGCACCTGGCTCATCACAATGGCTGCTGACAAATGAACATGTGCAGGGTGATGTGGGTCTGTGCCCCTAACAGACCAGGGCACTACAGTGCAGGCCTAATCTGATTTGCCCTTGAATCCCCACAGCTGGTGCAAAGTAGCCACCAGCAAATGTGTGTCGAATGACTGAGTGAAGGGCTTGGTCCTGCTCCTACTTAAAACTGCCCAAAAGCCAAAGGGGAGGGCCAGGTCAGAGCCTGGCCTTGGTGAAGCTCCCCTGGCCTATCCTTTCCCCAACCCCTCCCTACCTCCAGTTTTCTTCTCTGGAAAGGGGAGAGGGAGAAGCTGGCCCTTGTCTTGAGGACTAGCAGACATCGCTGGGATTTGGGAGATGTGGTGGTACTTGGCAGAGACCAGCCTGATGAGACTCCATGTGAAATCTGCTTCATCATGTGGGTTACAGAAGAGCCCATTTGAAGAGGATAGTTTTGTGGGGGTTCATTTTACTGTTCTACTCACACAAAAGTTGGAATACTGCCATGAAAGGAGAGAAAGCTCTATAGTTCAAGATGTGAAACGAACCTAACTGCATTTTTTAAAAGAATTTTTGCTGTAGGTGTATGTGCTCGCCATAGAGACTGAGACAGAGACCAGAAAGCAAGAAATCACAACCACCACCACCACCCAGGGGTATGGCCACACTGCAATCCCTTCTCCATTCTCCTCAGAATCTTGGGCACGCACGCATATACACCCAGCATGAATTTTAAGCCACCAGGCCCGGGACTCAAACCATGGTTGACTACGTGGAAGTCTAGTCCATTATACCATCTGTTGGTCCCAAACCTAACTATATTTCAAAGACCATATTTAACCACATTTGGGAAGGGAAGCTACTCCCAAAATTATTTTGGAGCACAGTATTTTGACTGTACACCCTCAGCTAAAGGCAAAAAGAACTATAAGCAAATACAGGATTCAAGTTAGCAGGCTTCTTTTTTTTTTTTTTTTTGGAGAGATTTTCACTGTAGGGCGCGTGCGCTCGCCAGACAGACAGAGAGAGACATAGAGACAGAAAGCGAGAAATCACCCCCCAGGGGGGATGGTCACGCCGCAATCCCTTCTCCTCCATTCTCCTCTCGGGATCTTGGGCACGCACGCACACGCGCCCGGTGTGAGTTTTAAGCCACCGGGTCCAGGACACGAACCGCGGTCGACTACGTGGGAATCCAGCGACATAGCCATTACGCTAACTGCTGGTTCCTAGCAGGCTTCTTTTCACAATGGTGTGGGTTAGCATACTTGAGCTATATTCTAGGAGCAAATAAGTAAACAGAGTCATGTTGCTTAACAAGGGGTAAGTCCTGAGAAACACCGGCCAGATTTTGCTGCTGTGTGATCATTAAGTCCATTTACCCAAACTTAGATGGAGGTGCCCACTGCTACATAGTCTTCAAGGACCATCATATGTGCAGTCTGTCACTGATAGAAATGTTATTCAGAACATGACTGTATATAACAGTCAATGAAATGGATATATGAATATACACAGGGAGGTTAGAATGAATCTTGTGGTGTTGCAATGAAATTGGAGATAAAATTTTGTGAAAACATGGTTGTGAACATATAGAAATAAGCATTGTGGGTCAGCAGGTAGCTTGGAGGTTAAGGGTCTGGACCCCATATGGCTAAGTGTATGGCTTGAGTCTTGGACCCAGCAGTTTGAAAATCACGCCAGATGTGTGTACATGTGTGCCCCAAATCATGAGATGAGACTGGAGATTGTGGCGTGGCCCACCACTCTGGGGGGTGATTTTTTGCTTTCCCTCTGTATCTCTCTGGCAAGTGCATGAGCCCTATAGAAAAACTTCAAAGAAAGAGGGAGGAAAGGAAAAGAAATAAGCATCATATACACATACATATATTTCCTTCTTTAGTCCACTGGAACAGAGAGCAGTGACACCCCAATAGTGGTGAGCACTCCTGGCACACAGACTTTGGTTTATATATACCACCCCTCACCAAAAGGAACAAGGCCACTCCATGGTCTGGTGATTAAGGCAACTGGATCCCACATGGCCGGCCACATGGAATTCCTGCCAGGAACAGCCTATAACCACGAAGAAACATCAGGCAACAAGCCCTGACTGAAGGACATTCTGCAAAATGACTGTCCTCAGAGTTTCAATCATAACTGAATGCAACACAGGAACCTGGACTGAGTCATTAGCCAGATTTTTTTTCTCTCTTTCTACAAGACATTAAGTGTGACTATAAGTACGATCTGAAAAGGTCTATAGAAGAGTGTTGTTTCAATGTTAACTTCCTGACCTGACAATCTGGACAGATACATAAACAAGGAGTAGGGGAAGGAGTGGAAGGAATTCAAGTAATGTAGTAAAATGCTTCAAGACAGGGACCAGCAGGGGGCATAGTGGTTAAGGTACTAGACTGCCTCAGAACCTGGAATTTGAGTCCTGGGCCTGGCAGCTTAAAAATCACACTGGGTGCATGTGTGTACATGCGCAAAGTCCCAAGAGGAGACTGGAGGAGAAGGGACTGTAGCATGCCTAAACCCTTGGGCAGAGTGTGATTTCTCACTTTCCCTCTCACTATCT